GCCTAAATTCTGTACATTCATCCATGAAGGTAGTAACCAGCAATGGAGTTTGGGACTCAGAACCTGGCTGGAATCCTAGCTACATTACTTCTAGCTGCATGACTTTAGGGAAGAGTTCTTCAGTCTCTCTGTGTGCCCATTTCTTGACCTGTATCTTGAAATAACCTCTCCTTTACATGGTAGATGTGAGAAGTAAGTGAAACATTACAAGTAAAAGTATCTACCATTGTGCATGGCATAGAAGGCACTTAAATTTAAGTGTTCTAATGACAGTTGTAATACTCTAAGGTAGTAAGTAGGACATACAGTTGAGATGAAAAGTATAAATTCAAAATAAAAAATAGGTATGTGCCTATGTGTGTTGGCTACCTCTTAGGTCCAAGTTTTTCAGTTCTTCACTAAAACAAGAATGAAGAGCTCAAAAAATGACTTTAATATGGGTACGTGTAACAAGGCCATGATAAGAGTAAGGCAAGTGAGGCACTCCAGGCACAAAATTTAAGGAGGCACTCTGTTCTCAGGCTTGTGCAGGTGCAGAGTTGGCACCTGAAAATGAACATCTTCTTTTGAGATGGAGTCTTGCTCTGTCGTCCAGGCTGCAGTGCAGTGGTACAATTTCAGCTCACTGTAACTTCCACCTCCTGGGTTCAAGTGATTCTCTTGCCTCAGCCTACCAAGTAGCTGGGATTACAAGCGCATGCCGCCGCACCTGGCTAATTTTTGTATTTTTAGTAGAGATGGGGTTTCACCATGTTGGTCAGGCTGGTCTTGAACTCCTGACCTTGTGATCTGCCTGCCTTAGACTCCCAAAGTGCTGGGAATACAGGCGTGAGCCACCATGTCCAGCCGAGTGCCTTGTTAAATTTTACACTCCAGGCACCTCTCTAGACTAAGGCAAACAATATCAGAGAAATGTTCTGCAACTGAGTTCAGACAAAAAAGCAAAGATTTTCTATTTAGAGAGCAGTTGGTGCAGTAATTTGCTATCTAAGGCTGACACCCTGCTCCAGGAAAATCTATAAATAAAGAGACAACAAAACATGAGGCATTCCCAAAACCGTTTCTCAAAATCTATCAAGTAGCTTTAAATTTTCTCTAAAAGTCTCCTCAAAGATATTTATGAAAATCTCCCTAAATCAGTTTTGATTTATTATAGTAAAAACAGATTAAGAATTAAGAACATTATATAGTTTACTATAATATTATGATATTCTAAATTCAAAGAGACCCATTCATGTGTTGGTTGTTTCAATTTATAGAGGTAAGGGATGAGGAAAGAGAATAGGTAAAACAAGATTGGCATGTATTGATAACTACTGAATCTAGTGATGATAAATAAATTCATTTTATGTATTGTATTCATTTATTTGTCCTAATTTTGAATGTTTGAAGATTCTCACAATAAAAAAAGATAAATACATAAATAGCATATATATGCCACTTGATCTTATGGACTAGATGAAAACTAGCTCTCTTCTCTGCAATGTAAACTTTGAATAAATCAGACAAACTAAGCTTGTTCCAGAAACTTTCTATTCCTCTCAGTTTATCTGGATAAAGATCTCTAAATGTGCTACTTGAGTGTGCATGTGTGTGCGCACACACACACACACACACACACACAAATGCCTGTACTGCTAAACCCTCCCTTAGGCCTTATCACTGACCATGTAACTTTATAGGTTGTGCATCAAATAATTTACATTAGCATAGAGATGCTAATGCCTCAAACTGGAGTTGCCTGTAAGTCAGAACTCATTCTCCCTTTGAGCCATTCCATATTCTTAGCACCACTGAATATTTAGTAAGTTTCCATAGGGTACATGATATTCTGCCCACCTGGTTGAAGGTTGCGGCACAAACACTTTTCATCTCCTCATCTGTCCTCAGGTAGAAAATTATAGATAGTTGCTCAGAATAACAGTGAATCAAAAGCAATGCCAAAAACACAAGTTGGTGCCAGCTAAACATTCTGTAAAATAGATACTACTGCTTTAGAAAATATTTTTTATTTTTTTGAGACAGGGTCTCTCTTTGTCACTCAAGCTGGAATGCAGTGGTGCAATCACAGCTCACTATAGCCTTAAACTCCTAGGATTCTCCCACCTCAGCCTCCTGAGTAGGTGGAATTACAGGGAGGCACCACCATGTCCAACAAATTTTTTTTTTTTTTTTTTTGAGACAAAGTCTCACACTGTTGCTCTGGTTGGGGTGCAATGGCACAATCTTGGCTCACTGCAACCTCCGCCTCCCAGATTCAAGCAATTCTCCTGCCTCAGCCTCCTGAGTAGCTGGAATTACAGGCATCTGCCCCTGCGCCTGGCTGAGTTTTTGTATTTTTAGTAGAGATGGGGTTTCACTATGTCGGTAAGGCTGGTGTCAAACTCCTGACCTCGTGATCCCCCCATCTTGGACTCCCGAAATGCTGGGATTACAGGTGTGAGCCACCATGCCCAATCCAACGAATCTTTTTTAAAAGTTTTTTTAGAGGCAGGGTCTCATTTTGTTGCCCAGGCTGGTCTCGAACTCTTGGCTTCAAGTGATCCTTCTGCCTCAGCCTCCCAAAGTGCTGGGATTTTAGGCATGAGTCACGACACCTAGCCAACTAATTTTTTTTAATGTAATTTTAAAAAAAGGTGGCTAGATGTCGTGGCTCACACCTGTAATCCTAGCACTTTGGGAGGCAGAGGAAGGTGGATCACCTGAGGTCAGAAGTTTTGAGATCAGCCTGGTGATCTCAGGTAAAACATCAGACATTGTGAAACCCCATCTCTACTAAAAATACAAAAGTTAGCCAGGTGGCCGGGCACGGTGGCTCAAGCCTGTAATCCTAGCACTTTGGGAGGCCGAGGCAGGTGGATCACAAGGTCAAGAGATCGAGACCATCCTGGTCAACATGGTGAAACCCCGTCTCTACTAAAAACACAAAAGATTAGCTGGGCATGGTGGCGCGTGCCTGTAATCCCAGCTACTCAGGAGGCTGAGGCAGGAGAATTGTCGGAACCCAGGAGGCGGAGGTTGTGGTGAGCCAAGATCACGCCATTGCACTCCAGCCTGGGTAACAAGAGCGAAACACCGTCTCAAAAAAAAAAAAAAAAAAAAAGTTAGCCAGGTATGGAGATGGGTGCCTATAATTCCAGCTACTTGGGAAGCTGAAGCAGAAGGAGAATTGCCTGAACCCAGGAGACGGAGGTTGCAGTGAGCCAAGACTGTGCCACTGCACTCGGGACTGAGTGAGAGTGACACACTGTCTCAGGAAAAAAAAAAAGGTACCATATGGTGTTACTTAGGGGAAATAAAAAGCAGGGCTGAATCTTCTAGTACTGGTGGTGATACTCTGTCAGAAGTCACGATTAAAGCATCTGCACTTCCACACCCACACTGACCACCACCCCTACGTCTAGGTTGAAAGATTCCTAATGGTAGTTAGTACCATAAAAACCCTAAAAAATTATGACTTGCTTCACCCTATGGCCTTAATACTAATCTTGAAGGATAATAGACAGAAGCCAAGACTACCTGTAAAATACAATTACCCAAACGAGATGTCAGAGCGGAGATGTGAACAAGTAATTTACAAGTGAGAGACAGTATCTATTTTCAGACAAATTCCAACTCTCCATTTAAAGAAGTTCTCTAAGAAAATATTCAGGCCAAGCACAGTAATTCACTGTGGAAGGCCAAGGTGGGAGGACTGCTTACTACCAGGAATTCATGACCAACGTGGGCAACATAGCAAGACCCCATCTCCACAAAAAATATAAAAAATTAGCCATATGTGGTGGCATGTGCCTGCAGCCTAGCTACTCAGGAGGCTGAGGTGCAAAGAATGCTTGAACCCACGAGTTCAAAGTTACAGTGAGCTATGATTGTACCACTGCACTCCAGCTTGGCCACAGAGCAAGATCGTATCTGTAAAAGATAAATGAATAAGTAGATAAATAATTTTAAAAAGAAAATATTAACAGGCAAGGTGGCTCACGTCTATAATCTCAGCACTTTGGGAGGCTGAGGCAGGCGGATCACGAGGTTAGTAGTTCAAGTGCAGCCTGGCCAATATGGTGAAACCTCGTCTCTACTAAAAATACAAAAATTAGCTGGGTGTGGTGGCATGCACCTGTAGTCCCAGCTACTGGGGAGGCTGAGGCAGAAGAATTGCTTGAACCCGGGAGCAGAGGTTGCAGTGAGCTGAGATGGCACCACTGCAATTCCAGCTTGGGTGGCAGAGCAAAACTCCATCTCAAAAAATAAATATATTCAAAGGTTATCCACTGATTAACTTTTAGTGTTATTCACCTTTAAGTAACACTATATTATACCAAAAAGCGAGCACTTTAAAGAAACTGGCTATATTCTTCCATCTTACTGGCAACAATATTTAGTGACCAATCAAACATATTCAATAGTACCTAATTCAAATGAGTTTTAGTTACTAGTGGAGTCAAACATTTAACCTCCTTCATTATGTAAGCAAAGTTTAAACTGTCATTAAGGAAAGTAAAAGATCCCGAAACTTTAAGGTGTTAGCTATATTCTGGCTGCTAAATTTAGAACACAATCAAGTTGGCTAAAATAATCTCGTCCTAGAAATTTTCCTATAGAGAAATGCATCATAATAATTAGGAAATAAAGATCATTTTTATTCAGTTTCTAGTCCCACACCACCAGAAAGTACCACAAATATCTATCTGAAGAAAATAATCTTACATATACATAAATTTAAGACAAAACCTCCTGAAGAAAATGATGAATGTACTGGTTTATGGGCAAATATGAGCACAGGTACACTACAAAGATTTGCTTTAATATCCCTGCATTTTAGTACTTGGTTCTCCCCTCAAAAACACCTAGGATATGAGATATACAATCTGTGAGACACACAGTCATGTTTCCCATAGCCCTATAACCCAATATTCCAAAGACAAGGTTCATATTAAACATGCTTTAACAAGGGACTTATTTTAAATACTGCTCTCTTTATAAAAGCAGAAGCTTATTACCATTGGATTTGAATCTGCTATGAGATCCCGTAGAGAATCCAGAAATCCCTGATCTTCCACCATTTGGGCGTTGATATCATGGAGTTTTGCCACGCAGACTGCTGCTGTTTTCCGAACATATGGATCCTCATCCTTCAAGCACTTGCGGAGGGGCTCACAGAGATATTCTGTAATTTTGTCTACCCGGATGCACCCCATGGTTCTGACTGCCAAGGCTCGAATCAAAGGATTAGGATCTTCACAGTCCTACAGAAAACAATCACCAACAAATTTAAGTATACATGGTGGCTAAAAGTAAACAGTTGGCATAAGCTGCAAAAGAATACTTCATCAATTTAAGCTTCCAGTTACATTCTACGTGAGCTCTAATCTCCCATGCTATTCCTTTCCTAAGTACAAATCTTAGCTGCCCTATTTAAGAGTTTAGGTGAGGAAGTCACTTAACTGTTTTATATACAAAATGAGAAAAGGCTCAGTAGGATTCATTCCAGTGCTAGGCAGAGGCTTAGGGAGTTGGTACCATCCTACAGCCATTAGTGGATCTGCCCTAAAAACATAAAAAGCTTTTGAGCTTATATTCTGGCATAGGAAAAAAAAAAAAAAAAGAGGAATTGGAAAGACCGTGCCCTACTCCACACTGAGTTCCTAAGCATCAAATAGAGAGAAAAGAGAGCTAGATTTCTGGGGCCTACAACCAACAAAACAAAGGAGAGCACAAGAGCTGGTCTGGGCTTGAAATAAGTACCTGGAGTTAAGCAGCAGAGAGGGCCCTCTGAGCTCCTGACTAACCTACGTTCTCTTTTACTAGCAAGTGCTTCCAAATATAGTACAAATAGAATATGGAGAAAAAATACTCTTTTAAAATGCCCTACATTAAAAAAATGTCTTTAAGCCCATATAAATCTATGCACAACTCTAACTTCCAAAAAATGTAAACTAAATTCTTCCCAATGATATATTCCATCTATGAACCACCAGTCATGGAGAACAAACTGCTATGTTCTGACTCTGTAATGTAGCTAAACACAGGAAAAGAACAAAAAGTCCATGAGAAGGAAGAAAGCATACTGCTTATTGTGCAAAACATTTTAAATAGAAGCTAATTTTAGAAATGCTGTCTGAATTTTTTTAATGTCTGAATTTTTTTAAATGTATGCTAAGTTTCAAATAGAGAAAAAAAAAACTAGTTAAAAAAAAATTAATGGGAACAATCCCACTATTATTTTCTTTACATCTAAGGAAAGATTTGACTGAATATTCAATAATGGTAAGAAAAATCTTTTGTCCATTTTGAAAGACATGATGATACTGTGGTTATGTTTAAATAAAAGAACTTATCGGCTGGGTGCGGTGGCTCATGCCTATAATCCCAGCACTTTGGGAGGCCGAGGCGGGTGGATCATGAGGTCAAGAGATCGAGACTATCCTGGTCAACAAGGTGAAACCCCATCTCTGCTAAAAATACAAAAATTAGCTGGGCATGGTGGTGTGTGCCTGTCGTCCCAGCTACTTGGGAGGCTGAGGCAGGAGAATTGCTTGAACCCAGGAGGCGGAGGTTGAGGTGAGCTGAGATCATGCCATTGCACTCCAGTCTGGGTAACAACAACGAAACTCCATCTCAAAAAAAAAAAAAAAAAAGAGCTTATCTTGAAAAATGTAAGGACAAAACTATTTAATATATTATGTTTAGGATTTGCTTTAATATTATCCAGCAGGAGAGGGGTTTGGAGGTCAGAAAATATGTATGAGTATTATAAACAAGAGCAGCTGTGTGTCAGTAGCTATTGAATTTACAAGATAATATTTAGAAATTTATTATACTAGTCCTTCTTCTTGAATATGTTTAAAATTTTCCATAAAAAAATTAATCAAGCTGGGAGCAGTGGCTCATGTCTGTAACCCCAGCACTTTGGGAGGTCAAGGTGGGCAGATCACTTGAGGTTAGGAGTTCGAGACCAGCCTGACCAACGTGGTGAAACTCTGTGTCTACTAAAAATACAAAAATTAGCTGGGTGTGATGACGGCCACCTGTAATTCCAGCTACTTGGGAGGCTGACACAGGAGATTCACTTGAAACTGGAAGGCAGAGGTTGCAGTGAGCCATGACCATGCCATTGCACTCCAGCCCGGGCAACGGAGCAAGACTCCACCTCAAAAAAAATAAAAATAACAGTCTGACAACATGGCGAAACCCCATCTCTACTAAAAATACAAAATTATCTGGGCCTGGTGGTTAGTGCCTGCAATCCCAGCTACTTGGGAGACTAAGGAGGGAGAACTGCTTTAACTTGGAAGGAGGTTGCAGTGAGCTGAGATTGCGTCACTGCACTCCAGCCTCGGCAACAGAGAAAGACCCTGTCTCAAAAAAAAAAAATTAATTGGCCAGGCGTGGTGGCTCATGCCTATAATCCCAGCACTTTGGGAGGCCGAGGCGGGTGTATCACGAGGTCAAGAGATAGAGACTGTCCTGGTCAACAAGGTGAAACCCCGTCTCTACTAAAAATACAAAAATTAGCTGGGCATGGTGGTGCGCGCCTGTAGTCCCAGCTACTTGGGAGGCTGAGGCAGGAGAATTGCTTGAACCCAGGAGGCGGAAGTTGCGGTGAGCCGAGATCGTGCCATTGCACTCCAGTCTAGGTAACAACAGCAAAACTCCGTCTCAAAAAAAAAAAAAAAAAAAATTAATTAATCCATCAATCAAATGATGTAAGACCTATTAAATGAAAACCAAAGTAGCAACTCCTGCAGTCTCCACTACTGCTGACTCATAAGCATAATTTCTACAAAGATAAAATAGGTAACTCCCCCCAGTTGCTGATACTACAATGGTATGTCCAACCTTCGTCAGCCTCAGCAGCTAAAACAGTGAGGTTTCACCAGGTTTTCTTCTACTCATCTGGCAAGGATGCACCAAGCCCCACTAACAGAAAGCTCATCACATGGTTTGAATTTCCATGGATGACACACCCTGGTTAGAATGCTTAAAACATGAACATTCCTAGTCATTGCCAACACTTCCCTACAGTCCTTCCTTCGGAACAGAGGTTACTTATTTGCAATGCAGACTCTGTTCTTGAGAGCTTGGGAAAAGTTACCTTCACAAAGCTGTTTACAGCCATAATGGCCATGTCTGGCTGACTCTTGGCATAGTTCATCAAGTAGAGATACACAAGCTTCTTCAGTTCCAGATTGTCGGTCTGCATACAGTTGACTACGTCTGGAAAGAGAGAGCTGAGAAGAGAGGATAAAAAAGTAAGCAAGCAGGTGTTGGTGTCAAGCTGTTGGTCAGAACATGAATAGCCTTAACTAACAGAGTGACTTGATGCAAATGTCCTTACAGTGGTAACTGTCACAGAAATTAATTACTAAAAGAATTGTAGGGGCCAGGCACAGTGGCTCACGCCTATAATCCCAGCACTTTGGGAGGCTGAGGCGGGTGGATCACAAGGTCAACAGATCGAGACCATCCTGGTCAACATGGTGAAACCCCGTCTCTACTAAAAATACAAAACTAGCTGGGCATGGTGGCGTGCGCCTGTAGTCCCAGCTACTTGGGAGGCTGAGACAGAAGAATTGCTTGAACCCAGGAGTCAGAGGTTGCGGTGAGCCGAGATCGTGCCATTGCACTCCAGCCTGGGTAACAAGAGTGAAACTCCGTCTCCCAAAAAAAAAAATTGTAGGCCAGGCATGGTGGCTGTTGTCTGTAATCCCAGCACTTTGGGAGGCTGAGGCATAAGGATCGCTTGTAATCCCAGCACTTTGGGAGGCTGAAGCGTAAGGATCACTTGAGACTAGGAGTTCAAGACTAGCCTGAACAAGATGGCAAGATCCCATCTTTACAAAAATGTTTTTTAAAAAGCTGGGCGTGGTGGTGCACACCTGTAGTTTTGGCTGAAACAGCTGGATGGCTAGAGCCCAGGAGGCTGAGACTCTAGTGAGCCTTGGTCACATCACTATACTCCAGCCTTGATGACAGAGTGAAACCTTGTCCCCATCCAAAAAAAAAAATTGTAGTGTTGTTCCCAACGAGGTCTCTAGTTTTCGAGAAAGCTTTTTATTATGAAAAATTTTAATCCCAGTGCTGGGATTACAGGCATAAGTCACTGTGCCCAGCTTCATCTATAATATTTCAATGTATATCTTAAGAATCTTCTTTCCTTTTTTGAGACAGAGTCTTGCTCTGTTGCCCAGGCTGGAGTGCAGTGGCACAGCAACCTCAGCCTCCCAAGTAGCTGAAATTATAGGCATGGACCACCACGCTTGGCTAATTTTTGTATTTTTAGTAGAGACGAGGTTTTGCCATGTTAGCCAGGCTAGTCCTGAACACCTGACCTAGGTGATCTGCCCGCCCTGGCCTCCCAAAAGTGCTGGGATTACTCATGTGAGCCACCATGCCCAGCCAAGTAGTATCCTTTTTTTTTTTTAAATAAAATTACTACCTTTATCACATTTAAAAAAAAAAAAAAAAAAAAGGCTAGGCCCAGTGGCTCACATCTGCAATCCAAGCACTTTGGGAGGCCATGGTGAGAGAACTGCTTGAGCCTAAAAGTTTGAGACCAGCCTGGGCAACATAGTGAGACATCATCTCTATAAATAGTTTTAAAAATCAGCCAAGACATGGTGGTGTGCACCTGTGGTCTCAGCTACTCAGGAAGCTCAGGTGGGAGCATCACTTGAGCCTAGGATGCCGAGGCTGCAGTGAGCTGTGATAATGCCACTGCACTCCAGCCTAAGGAACAGAGAGCAAGGTCCCATCTCAAAAAAAAAAGAAAAGAAATAACAATAATATTTTTTAAAAAACATTTATGTACAAAAAGGTAACATGGTTTCTCTCATTAGGTGGGTGTCTTAGATAATCCATTCATGGAAGATCACTTAGTCCAACTTAATGAAATCTATATCCTTCACATACTGATGGAAATACTGGTGGCATATATCGAGGTTGACTTTCCAGATAAGACTGTGTCCAGTTTCAGCAGACACGACAAAAGCAAGAACCCTGGCTGACTTTTCACAGGTGACTCCAGTAGAGCTGCTGGTGAATCATCTTGCTTTCAGGAGTGCAACAGGGCAAAAGGAACAATAATTCTTCATATCAATCAATCTACAGTTTCAAAGCACTACAGTTACACTTTTTTGTTTTTGTTTTTGTTTTTTGGAGACAGTCTTACTCTGTCACCCAGGCTGGAGTGCAGTAATGTGATCTCGGCTCACTGCAACCTCCACCTCCTGGGTTCAAGAAATTCTCCTGCCTCAGCCTCTGAAGTAGCTGGGATTACAGCCGCACCATCACATACTGCTAATTTTTGTATTATTAGTAAGGATGGGGTTTCACCATGTCGGCCAGGATGGTCGCCCACCTTGGCTTCCCAAAATGCTGGGATTACAGGTGTGAGCCACCATGCCCGGTCTACAGTTATACTTTTTAATATTCATATTCTTCCATTCTTGACTATTGGGAACTTAGTTCCTGAATCCTTGTGATATGATCTGGTATTTTCTATATTTTCCTTTATGACAAGATGTTCCATCCAGGCTCATTTTGTACACTTCTAATCCCAGACCTAGAATCAGTCATTCTCTAGAATGTCCTGATTCCCTTCTAGTGAAATTATTTTTTTAAGATTACATATTCAGACAAATGAAAATTTGAGAGTAACCAAATATAAAAGGAGTTTATACCTTTCTTAGTTCTAGTAATTTCATGATTTACCATCTTCCTATAAGCCACAGGAAATAAATTTAAAGGAGCACCAACCATTAGCTTGGAAGGGTTGAGCTTGTCAGATTCTAAAGTGTAAGCTGTATTTTAAAAATACAGAATAACTACAACTTTATGGGAAGTCAGCAATTAATCTTCCCCACAATGCTTTATCAAAATACCTTATAAATTTTTAATACTGTCAAACATCTGGCTACTAGCATAGAAGAAAGAAAAAAGAAATGTTGGTATATTTCCACAAGAAAAGTAAGGGGAAAAAAAGGGAATGAAATAGCTGGTCATATTGTATACATCCTATGTACACTACAGAAGAAGAAATTATTCACAAAAAGGAAGCTGGACTGAAGTTAAGGACTCCACCATATCTCCAGTGAACCAGTAACTTTCATCCTAAAAGGCAAACTATTTGTTTAACTTGTATGCATGGTACGTACTGTTGCTTCATGCACATGTAGATATTTAGTAAATACTAAGAAACTCTCCAAAAATGTGTTTTCTATTTCCTAGACTAGCTCATACACAAAACAACCATAACTAGTAAATAAATGTGAAACATTAACCAATAATAAATTTAAGATCCTAAATAGTTTAATTCTAACAATCTACACAAGGTCAAGAAGACTTAATAGCCAAAGATCAAGCAAGAAGTAAAAAGTGTTAAGTGCCAACCTATAAACTAGAAACCTGAACTTTCCAACATGGTAGCCACTAGTCACATATGGCTACTAGACACAATGTGGCGAGTGTGAGATGTGATGCAAATGTAAAACACACACTGGTTTTGAAGACTTAGTATGAAAAATATGTAAAATATCTCATTAATAATTTTAATGTTGATTATATGCTGACAGGATAGTTTAGATATATTAGGTCAAATAAAATATGTTACTAAAATTAATTCATCTGTTTCTTTTCACTTTTTCAAAATGGCTACTAGAAAATTTAACATTACAGGTGGTTCACACTGTATTTCTACTGGGCAGTGCTGCACTTGAGGTTACTTGCAGGGAAGGCTGAAATATGACAACCTACAAATAGCTAATCTCCATTCTGTTTCTTTGCACTATTTTTCTAGGCACAGCTCATATTTCATCTCCAAGAAAGGTTCTTCAACTATTCCTGTTAACTCGGATCTCTCTTTGGTAGAAGTCATATTGCTTTTAAAATATAAACTTTAGTGCCTGATTATGTAACTATATTTTATTTTTCCCTAATTTTTCAAGTTTTGGGTTTCATCAACTAGACAGTTAAACGTCATGAAGGCAAACAGACATCCACTAGCCTTTTGTTTGAACAATGATAAGTGGTATAATGCTAGGTATGTAATAAATTATCAGCAACAGCAAGCATACAGAAAAAAAAAATCAAGAGTTTTAACTTTTCTGTAGGATACAGACAGAAATAAGCTTGGCAAAACCACAACAGCCCCTGTAAAGGGGTATGACAATTTTTACCAACTGTTTGTACTGATGTTTTCAATCCAGATTTATTTTCTGGCAAAAACAGCCCTTCAGTGACTAGATAGATTACAGATAGACAACTAATGCCTGTGTGCTAAATCCGGCCCAATGCTGAACTTTGTACAATCCATGAGCTAAAAGTGGTTTGTATAGATGAACTAAATGTTCATCTATAAGAATCTCGACCAGGCATGGCGGCTCATGCCTGTAATCCTAACACTTTGGGAGACCAAGGCAGACAGTCAGCAGGCGTGATGGCAGGCTATATAGTACCAGCTACCCAGGAGGCTGAGGCATGAGAATCGCTTGAACCCAGGAGGCAGAGGCTGCAGTGAGCCGAGATTGTGCCACTGCACTCCAGCCTGGGCAACAGAGAGAGACTCCATCTCAAAACAATAAATAAATAAAACAAATCTGATGATGAAAAATCCTATGAATGCTAATTAAGCAAAATGTTATAATCCCCAAAAAGAATCCCATTCTTTTTAATAGTAGACCTGTGGTACAAAACATTATACTTAACTATTATTATATTTTGAATTTCATCAATAAAAAATTTATGGAAATTGGTCTTCTCTCTTATTATGTAAGTAGCTACCTAATAAACTCAATTTTGCCCCTTTGCCTGCTTAAGCAAAGAGTACTTACTATGCCAGCCTGATGTACTTACTATTTTGTCCTTTATAAAAACGTTTGCCAATCCCTTAGTCACAGAACAGCAATTTTAAAACCAAATGTGTTTTATGAGCTAAACAAACAAAACAAAAATAACAGAAATTCGTTTTAGAACAGCAGCACCTGGAGCACGGGAAGACAGAGTCATTTCCCATGCCACCATTTCTATCTGCACTTCCTGTCTGGTTAGGGAAGCAGCACTCACCTTTTTGGTCTCAGGATCCCTTTATACTCTTAAAAATTACTGAGATCCCAGAGAGCTTTTGTTCATGTAGATTATATACCTACTGATATTTTACCAGGTCAGGAATTAAAACTGAGAAATTTTTAAAAAATTAATCCATTTAAAAAAGAAGAAACCCATTTTATAACATTTTTAAAGTAAAATTTACTGTTTTTAAATTAATAAGATAACATTGCCTTTTTTTTTTTTTTTGCAACTCTCTTTAATATCTAGTTTAAACAAAAACAGCTGGACAATCATATGTTCCTGCATTCAACCTTTTGTAAAATGTTGTTTTTGAAACATAAATAGAAAATCCAGCTTTATACATGCCTATAACTTGGAAAAGGAAATATTATTCTAATAGTTTTTCATATAACTATATAGTCCTTATTTTCTTTTTTTTGGTTATAACTAGGTATTCTTGATGCTACACAAAACTAGACAGGCTGGGCACAGTGGCTCACACCTGTAATCCCAGCACTTTTGGAAGACCAAGCCTGGATCATTTGAAGTCAGAAGTTCAAGACCAGCCTGCCTAACATGGTGAAACCCTGTCCCTCCTAAAAATACAAAAAAATTAGCCAGGTGGTAGTGGCACACACCTGTAATCCCAGCTACTTGGCAGGCTGAGGCAGGAGAATCGTTTGAGCTTAGGAGGCAGAAGTTGCAATGAGCCAAGATCGCGCCACTGTACTCCAGCCTGGATGACAGAATGAGATGTGTCTCAAATCAATCAACCAATCAATCTAGACAAATGGTGGTTTTCCTCTTTCTGAGTCTAAAAAATGCAGTTTCTTAAAAGTTAGTTGCAATGTAGAATCTGAAACCTTACCAATAAATTTTTTGTACTTGGTTGTATTAAAATCCACACATTTACATTGCATTTTGTCTGTCTGTTTTTGAGACAGAGTCTTACTCTGTTGCACAGGTTGGAGTGCAGTGGTGCAATCCCAGCTCACTACAACCTCTGCCTCCTGGGTTCAAGTGATTCTACTGCCTCGGCCTCCGGAGTAGCCAAAATTACAGGCACATGCTACCGTGCCCAGCTATTTTTTTTTTTTTTTATCTTTTTTAGTAGACACAGAGTTTCACCATGTCAGCCAGTCTGGTCAGGTGATCTGCCTGCCTCGGCCTCCCAAAGTACTGAGATTACAAGCATAAGCCACTGCGCCTGGCCTACATGGTATTTTGAATAGATCTTTTATCCATACATAATTTTGTGATATACATATGCTCTGGTCATTTGGAAAAACATTGATTCACTGAGCGATGCTGACACATTTCATTATAAAACAGCAAACAATTGCAATAATTAACTTCTCCCTAATCTCCCCAGAAAAGTCTTTAAGCATTAGGAAGCCGTCAAGCCTTTGATGGGAGATAGTTTTCCAAAATTCCAATTTCTACTTTAAAACCTGAACTGTATTTACTGTCAATGTTTTTCCCTTAAAGTGACAGGATCACTTTGTTCATTTTTGATAAAATATCTCCCAAATACCAAAGTCTGATTAAATACAGTTTGTCAATCATTCTTTCACATAAAAATGGTGTTTGCAATTCAAACAACTGCACAAGGGCTTTTTCTCATGTAGACCATCACACTGCTATGCAGCAGAAGAGCTTTATGGGTAATTCCTATTTCATTATACAGAATATTAAAAGTTTCAAGTTTTAATAAAACAAATTTTTACTGCTCATGGAGGACTAAGTGAAACTGCTCTCTTTTAGCACATGGTGGTGAGGAATACAATGACTACCACTATGGTTGGCGCCACTGCCTTGATTCATGCTGTGGTACCAGTGGTTTTACCCACTACTGCTTTGCACCATCAGTGTAAACATCAAAATAGTGAAAAAGGCAAGTAACATCTCACGGACCCCCTGAAAGGGTCTTAGAATAATCCTCGGGGGCCTGCATATAATCCTTACTTATTTCCAAATGGTCTTAATTACAGAAAAAATAAGACTAAATGGACTTTGTTAATATTGATTTTCATTTTGAATTCAGCAACTGAATGTAGAGTTGTAAAGTTGAGGGCAGTGACTTGAGCCAAATAAAGAACATGTGAACTTATGCCTCTCAGTGTATTTTTATCTTTTTTTTTTTTTGAGACGGGGTTTCACCATGTTGGCCAGGCAGATCTCAAACTCCTGACCTTAAGTGATCCACCCGCCTCAACCTCCCAAAGTGCTGTGATTACAGGTGAGAGCCACCATTCCCGGCCTTATTTTTATCATCTTCTAAAACAACCTCAGCCAAAAGATTTGTAACTGTGCCAGCTCTCAGGAGGTGTTATGACCAAATCAAACTCGTTTCACTGTTCTAAAACACCCCCCCCCACACACACCCCAAAACAAAAAACACCACTTAAGTAGAGCGTCAATACAAAAGCAACTGCACTTCCTGATGATCTTTTTCGTGGGACAAACCCATTCTTAGATTATAATAGTTTTAAAGAAAAAGCAGTAAAGGCCATAAGATGGGGTATGGATCTCTCAAGTGACCAATGGCAAGGGTGATTACCCTTACCTAACATCCTTCCCCACAGTCATAGCAGCAATCACTTTCTTCACAGCCTCCTTTCTCTTTTCTTTCTTTTCATTGTTGAGTTCAGCTTTTAGTTCAAATATTTCTCCTGCAAGAGATGAGAACAAACTGGTGAAGTCCCAGGACCACAGATCTAGAGCAAAATACTGTACTTTGTAATAACTAATACCAGGATAGCAGGGCAGCAACTGAAATAAGATTATTTTAAAATTACAGAATATGTAAAATTCAAAGCCCTAGATTATTACTTGACTCACTGATAAAGAAACCATCAGTAAGTTTTAAAAACCTTTTAAATTATGGTCAGAGAGAAAGATACAATCCAGATCCTTAAGAACCACAGGAGTGGGGAAAAAAGCAAAGCTTATTATATCTAGCTACAGTGGAGAAAGAACAGTATCTGAAGGATGATCTTCTATCAGAATGTTAAAAGTCTGCAGAAGAACATAAATGTAGGTAGGGAGCAGGCACATATTATCTCATTTATCCATGCTCAGCTTTACAGATTAAGAAATGAGGCTTAAAGTTCACACAGTGAGTGACGAAGTTGAGCTTAGCACTATGTCTCCTGACTCTTGAATTCAAAGGTCCTCAACCCTGACCACACATTAATATTACCTGAGAAATACAAAGTACAGCTGCACTCTGGACCAAATAAATCAGCATGTCAAGGAAAACTCATAATCTTTAAGAGCTCCCCTAAGTGACTATAACGCACAGCCAATGTTGAGAATCACTATTTTAATCAGTACTTTAATAAATTAATGGACTTTAAGGCCCTTCCTATTCAATCAATCTAAAAAGAATAATCTTGAAACCAAGAATGGTACACAAGGGAGTCATTTCTAAAGGTACAATCTTGAATGACTGCTTAGGCTCCACATTGTAAAATGCCAGGGACTGTAACCACTATTTTAAGGCCTGGTCTCCAGACTCACCTATCTTCAAGATGCTGGAACCAAAATAAAAAAGAAAGTAACAACCCTAACATTGTTTAAAAGGAAAGGAAAAAAATCACTAAGCCCATGAAAAAGAGGTTGACTACTCACACCTCAACTTTCCATCTATACCCTCCAGCTCATCTACCATATTGCTTCAAAGACTATCCTCTACCTTCAAGACTTGCTCCTGCTGTTCCTTTCAACCAGATCTCATTCAGCAGCGTAGAAACAGTGGGGACAGACACTACATGATTTGCATGAAATCACTATGTGGAAAGGAAGAAATTAATAAGAAACAGAAGTAGAACACTTTTGTTTCAATATCCATGGACAATAAGGTTAAAAAAGTTGTTCCAAAATTGTTATTTTATCAACAGCTACAAAACTGGCACATCCAGAAGAGCTGGGCCCTTTAAAGAGTCATTCTTCACCTTCATAGGACTCTTTATCATGTCTCATGCTGCCAAATCCAGCTCTTAGAGTTCCTCTCATTCACTTCCGGGAACAGTAAAGGACAAATAGCTGCGTTTCAGAAAGTCCGAATTGTGAATAGCAGCAGGTGTTGTAGATTCAAAGCAGGATGTAACCGAAATTATTCCAATTCCAACAGCACAAATTTAAAGAATATATTTCACTGGCAGTTCTGGTGGGTGTTGCAGGAAGCACAGGGAACACAGTCTATCCATTTTTTATGTATGATATTTATCAGCAGTGATTCAATCTGGAGTCTCAAACTTTTACAAATGCCTGAATTAAAAAAATGTCACCAGGACCCTTTTGAGGGTTGGAAGAGTTAGGAGAGTTTTAAAATTTTAACTATTTAATTTTAATTATATTCCTTCCTATCATTATAGACATGTTTTTCATCAAAGCACACAAAATGTTAACAGAAGAAAGAAGAAATAAACCTATTTCCAAAAGAAAATCAGGAAAAGCTGGGAATGAATGACAAGTGGCTAATGGCTTTTATGAGATGTAGGTAATAAAAATGAGGAAAAAATTGCGTAGGACCAAAGAGGGGTACTCATAGAGGCAAAGTCATATATTCTACAACTTCATTAAATTCCTATCTTTTTTCCCTCTTTCTCCCCCCAATCAAACCTACCAAGCACTGTTAGCAGCTAGCATTGGTTTTCAATCATGGCTACAAACTAAAATAATCTGGGGAGCTTTCTTTTCAAATTTTTTTTTTTTTGAAATAGGGTCTCTCTGTTGCTGAGGCTGCAGTGCAGTGGTATAAGCACAGCTCACTGCAGCCTTGACCTCCTAGGCTCAAGTGATCCTCCCACCTCAGCCTCCAAAATAGCTGGGACTACAGGTATGCACCACCATACCGGGTTAATTTTTTAATTTTTTTTTTCCTTTTAGTGGGAAATGGTATTTAGAAACCAAGATCTAGGTACTAGGCATCCTTTGCACTTACTCTGATTTAGAGGAAATTAGAATATTTCATCAGAAATTCCATCAATGTTAAGGTATTAAGAAAATATGGCCGGGAGCGGTAGCTCACACCTATAATCCCAGCACTTTGGGAGGCCGAGGTGGGTGGATCACAAGGTCAAGAGATCGAGACCATCCTGGTCAACATGGTGAAACCCCGTCTCTACTAAAAAAAAAACAAAAAATTAGCTGGGCGTGGTGGCCTGTGCCTGTAATCCCAGCTACTCGGGAGGCTGAAGCAGGAGAATTGCCTGAACCCAGGAGGCGGAGGTTACGGTGATCCAAGATCGCGCCATTGCACTCCAGCCTGGGTAACAAGAGCGAAACTCCGTCTCAAAAAAAAAAAAGAAAATATGACTTGTGCTTAGGAGACACACAACAAATATTTGCTGAATAAATGAATGGAATACAGAAATGAAAGTAAAAGGACTCTACAGATTGTTCTTCAAGACCAAACTCGACTAAACCTGGAGACAATCAGGCCAGTAACCATTTCAAGAGAAACAAGATAGAGAAATTCTGGGACAGAGAAGATGCCATATTTCAGCCATTGGAGAAGAGAAAAGGTACATTTGAGAAGAAAGCCAAACTGTTAGCAAACAAGAAAAAAAGAAGAATGGTAGTTGGTGACATGTCCAGAATACTTTGGTAAATATAAGGATTGCTGAATACAAAAGTACAGAATTCTGATCCTAAGCAACAAATAAAGCAAGCTAAGCTACAGGCACAATAAGCTGAGATGCGCTAAATGGTGTGTTTTTGATGAGAAGACCCTCCACACTTCTAGAAATGATCTATTTAGGAACGATTTTATAAAAGATGAAAGGTTGGATGTTCTCAAGAAGGATCCTTTGTTCCTAGGCCCAAACTCATACATATAAACAAGCAGTATATTACTGATAACAAAGATGATGAGGCTAGTAAGTTCAAAGCCCCTCAAGTAATTCAGTCTATGACCTAAAAAAAATCACTGATGGCTCTAAAGGTTGCCTGTTTTAAATATACATCTAGATGAAGAACAGAGTAGATGTATATAGAGGGATATGAAAATAATACGTTTCAGTGCAGTGGCTCACACCTGTAATCCCAGCACTTTGGAAGGCCAAGGTGGATGGATCACCTGAGTGATCAGGAGTTTGAGATCAGCCTGACCAATCTTAATGCATTGTCTGTTATCAAAACATCAGAGATAGCGAAACCCTGTATCTATTAAAAAACAGAAAAATTAGCCGAGCATGGTAGTGGGCACCTGTAAATCCAGCTACTCCAGAGACTGAGGCAGGAGAATCGTTTAAACCCAGGAGGTGGAGGTTGCAGTGAGATAGCACCATTACACTCCAGCCTGGGTGACACAGCAAGACTCAGCCTCAAAACAAAAAAAGAAAATAACACATTTGTATGCATTGTTTTGCAAGAGTACTTTTTCCATTAAAGATAAAATTTGTTTTAATTATATGTATTAATATATGCACTTGTACGCATAGAAAAAGACTGGAGGATATACACTGAGTTCCCTTGGGAATAGGAACAGGAAGGGAGAACTTTCATTTTTATTTTTTATATACATATCTGTATTGCTTTAATTATATTCTTTGTTATAAAATGTTATTTCCAAGTAAAAGTTATTTTACAAAAGAGGAAACGTGTGCTGCTTCTTTTGTCCTCCTCAGACTTAACCAATCTTCAACGGATCAATATTGATTTCTTTTTTATTTTTTTATGTTTTTGAGATGGAGTTTCACTCTTGTTACCCAGGCTGGAGTGCAATGGCGCAATCTCAGCTCACCGCAACCTCCGCCTCCTGGGTTCAGGCAATTCTCCTGACTCAGCCTCCTGAGTAGCTGAAATTACAGGCACGCGCCACCATGCCCAGCTAATTCAATATTGATTTCAAACAGCAGACTCTCTTTCACTAAACAGAACGTTCAAGTCAAAATAATGTACATCACAGCCCTATCTTTTAAAATCTATTCTTTAATAACTTGCTTGAATACATTTATCTGCAGAAGTAGTAGATGTCCAATGAGATTGTCTACTACACGTATGTCTGAAAGAAGAGGTCAGGAACATTCTGCTTGGGACAATCTTAAACTACAACTTTTCAAAAATTTCAAAGATTTGATTAGATCTCATACTTACCTTTTTTATTGGTTGTGAAATACTTGGAGTCAGTCATGACTTTGGATCTTTAATGTGCACCTATATAGCAAGAGAAAAGAATTCCATCATTCAGGTTATAGACATCCATCCAACAAGGCATCCAATTAATTTTAAGAACATATAATTAATTTTAGAAACACTTTTGAGAACTTCTAAAAATGTGGCCGGGCGCAGTGGCTCACGCCAGTAATCCCCGCACTTTGGGAGCCCGAGGCGGGCGGATCACCTGAGGTTGGGAGTTCAAGACCAGCCTGACTAACATGGAGAAACCCTGTCTCTATTAAAAAAATAATAATAATTTCTAAAAATGTATCTTCTTCCTTTACCACCACCATCGATGATTCAAGGAATGCAGAGAAAATCAAGAATGTGACCTGGTGCAGTGGCTCATGCCTGTAATCCCAGCACTTTGGGAGACCAAGGTGCATGGATCACGAGGTCAGGAGTTTGAGACCAGCCTGGCCAACATGGTGAAACCCCGTCTCTCCTAAAAATACAAAAATTAGCTGGGCGTGGTGGTGGATGGCTGTAATCCCAGCTACTTGGGAAGCTGAGGCAGGAGAATTGCTTGAACTCGGGAGGTGGAGGTTGCAGTGAGCCGAGATCATACCACTTCGCTCCAGCCTGGGTGACGGAGCTGTAATTCCTCAAGTTGCTAATCTAAATCTAAAGGCCAAGTGTAATTGAGTAATAATATGAACCTATTATGGCTTTGTTATTTTATCCACAGTAACTCCTCAAAGCTTTCAAAAGCTAAAGCTGGACCTTTTAAAAATCTATCTTCAATTACTTTCCATTCAGGAATATCTGGTAACTTCTTGCCTCAAGCTAGAATCACTTCAAAGCATGTATTCTGAAGCAGTCAGGTTAAATGAAAAAATAATGTTGCCAATCTACTCAAATACATGCAAATTTCAATAAAAAGAATTTCTTTCAGAAAAAAATTTCAATTAGTAGGACAATATTCTTTCACAACAAACATCTAGAGAGGCAAACCATGACTTACGTACGGAATTTTTAAAAATTTCTAGTTGTGTGGATATGTAGTAGGTGCATATATTTATGGCGTGCACGAGATACTCTGATAACAGACAATGCATAATAATTACATTAGGGTAAGTGGGGTATCCATCATCTCAAGCATTTATCCTTTCTTAGTGTTATAAACAATTCATTTATATTCTCTTTATTTTTAAATGTACAGTAAATTGTTGCTGTAGCCACCTTTTGTGCTATCAAATACTAGATCTTATTCATTGTATTGAACTATATTTTTGATTTTTTTTTTTTTTTTTTTTTGAGATGGAGTCTCTCTGTTGCCTAGGCTGGAGTGCAATGGCGTGATCTCAGCTCACTGCAACCTCCGCCTCCGGGTTTCAAGTGATTCTCCTGCCTCAGTCTCCTGAGTAGCTGGAACTACAAGCGTGTGCCACCACACCCAGCTAATTATTTGTACTTTTAGTAGAGATGGGGTTTCATTGTGTTAGTCAGGATGGCCTTGATCTCCTGACCTCGTGATCCTCCCGCCTCGGCCTCCCAAAGTGCTGGGATTACAGGTGTGAGCCACTGCGCCTCACCAGATTTTTTTTTAATGTGGCTTTCTTACTTCCAACAATCCAGATTTAGCTATTCCCAAATAATGTCAGTTTATAGTTAAAAACAAGGCAAAAGACTGAGACATCTGTTCAGACACGGGAATCAAACTGGTGTTGAAACTTAAAACAATGTGGATCTCAGCCTCAACCTTAATTCTTCTATCCAATTTCCAGGAGAATTAATCCAGATGACAAATGGCTCCACTAATAAAACAAAAATGGCACAGCCTGGTCATATTTTTATTAAATAATAAGACCACTTTTTCTGATTTGAGAAACTCTAAGACTTTGTCCAATGCACCTGACTTCTTTAAATGTATTAAAATTTGGGACTGGGCACAGTAGCTCATGCCTGTAATCCCAGCAGTCTGGGAGGTCAAGGCAAGTGGATCACTTGAGGTCAGGAGTTCAAGACCAGCCTGGCCAACATGGAGAAACCCTGTCTCTGCTAAAAATACAAAACTCAGCTGGCACGTGCCTGTAATCCCAGCTATTCAGGAGGCTGAAGCAGGAGAATCACTTGGACCTGGGAGGCAGAAGCTGCAGTGAGCCAAGATACCACCACTGTACTCCAGACTTGGCAACAGAGCAAAACTCCATCTCAAAAATAAATAAATTAATTAAGAAATTGGGCTACGTGTAGTGGCTCATGCCTGCAATCCCAACACTTTGGGAAGCCAAGGCAGGTGAACTGCTTGAGCCCGGAAGTTTGAGACCAGGTGGGCAACATGGTAAAACCCTGCCTCTACTAAAAATACAAGAATTAGCCAGGCGTGGTGGCATGCACCTGTAGTCCCAACTACTTGAGAGGCTGAGGTGGGAGGATCGCTTGAGCCTAAGAGGTCAAGGCTACAGTGAGCTATGATCTCACCACTGCACTCTAGCCTCAATGATAGAGTGAGACATTGTATCAAGGGGAATATATATATATATTTAAATAATATTCCACTATACTCAAAAATGAGTATCTTCTTTCTTACCACCATCACTAATAACACTTATTACCAATTTTAGGACAAGACATCCTGGCATCTGCTCATATTATCAGGTCAATATGACATGATATATTTGGTAAACAATAGTAAATATGAATCTGGGAGAACAGACCTAAGCACCAAACAAATCAATGTAATTAAAGAAAAGGAAAAGGAGCGAGATAAAAAATTGTCTGGTTCGATCTGATCTCTAAAATGTGCTACTTGTACAGTTTAACAGAAATTAGACTCAATTGCTATCTTTCCAACAGCTAATTACTATTTATAGTCTTGATCCTAACAGTTCTTTAGATTTTACCAGAATTTTGCAGAATTGTCTTATTAAAAGAAGTGAGCTAGGACTCACAAATATCATTACAGAATATAGAAATTTCTCCTTTATTGTTTGTTATAATTAAAAAATAATCTGTAAGAGGCTTGTCTTATGCAGTTTTTACAATGCCTTTCTAGCAAAAATACAAAGAACGTTATAATCATTTAATCCATTCATAATGTAAACTAAATGTGAAATAGGCAAATGAAGAAAGAAATCCTTCACATAAAAGACCTGGAATAAATCGGAAGTTATCTATGAATTTATATATACAAACAGAAAAACCAGTATACAGAAATGATTACTTGAGCCTCAAAGAAGGGCTATAGCTCAAATCCATTACAATCTGTCTAGGATGTTTACTATGCCATTCTAAGTCCTTTAAAACTTGTTTAAGATTTTAAAACCTCCTTAAAATTCTTCACACAATTTATTTGAAAAAGCTCATATATGCACACGGATTAAATTTTTTTTGGCTAGGCAAGATGGCTCACGCCTGTAATCCCAACACTTTGGGAGGCTGAGGTGGGCAGATCGCTTGAGCTCAGAAGTTTAAACTAATGTTGCTTGGGCAACATGGTGAAACCCCATCTCTAATAAAAATATAAAAATTGGCTGGGTATGGTGGCACATGCCAGTAGTCCCAGCTGGCACTCACAGCAATGTCTGTCTCCTGGGCCTAGGAGTGATCCCCCCACCACAGCCTACCGAATAGGTGGGACTACATGTTGGGATTACAGCCGTGAGCCATTGAGCCCAGCTGATTAAATTCTTTTTTCCCCCCAGACAAAGTCTCACTGTGGCTCAGGCTCCAGTGCAATGGCTCAATCTGGGCTTACTGTAACCTCCGCCTCCTCAGGTTCAAGCAATTCTCCTGCCTCAGTCTTTAGAGTAGCTGGGACTACAGGCACCCACCACCACATCCGGATAATTTTTTTATTTTTAGTAGAGATAGGGTTTTGCCTTATTACCCAGGCTGGTCTGGAACGCCTGACATCAAGTGATCCACCGCCTCAGCCTCCCTAAGTGCTGAGATTACAGGCATAAGTAAATTCTTAACTGGAGTTTTCACTACATTATATTAAACAATAAATTAACCTGTCTTAAGTCATGCCTTTATCAGTAGCTCACATATTTCATTATCTCCCCTAACAATTTCAATGTCAAGGAATATATTACTGTCCTGTTCACTGTGAGCATTAAGTGTTCTTAACTAGAAAATAATGCACCCACCCATAAAATTTCAGGGAAGTGAGAAAGGTCAAGTATCTTTAGAAGCTCATAACATAGGTTCTAAATTAAGAGTCCCTGCTCTAATGAGAAGGGATATCACTCTTGTAACCAACACTATTGTAAATAGTAACAAAATATTCCCTATACATATGGCAGAGAAACATGGTACCAAGTAGGTTCTTGCCTTAAACCAAAAGAAACTCCAAGAAAAGAGCCAAGTGCGGTGGCTCACGCCTATAATCCCAGCACTTCGCGAGGCCAAGGTGGGCGGATCACAAGGTCAAGACATCGAGACCATCCTGGCCAACATGATGAAACCCCATCTCTACTAAAAATACAAAAATTAGCTGGGTATGGTGGCCTGCGCCTGTAGTCCCAGCTACTCAGGACGCTGAGGTAGGAGAATCACTTGAACCAGGGAGGCGGAGGTTGCAGTGAGCTGAAATCGCACCACTGCACTCCAGCCTGGCAACAGAGTGAGACTCCATTTCAAAAAAAAAAAAAAGAAAGATAAGAAACTCCAAGAAAAATAAAAATAGTCTAAATAAAAACAAATCAGAAGATGTGATTGTTGCACAACACTGTCAATGTACTAAATGTCACTGAACTGTTCACCTTAATGTGGTTAATTTTATGGTATGTGAATTTCACCTAAAAAAAATCACATGCTAGATATGGGCATAGCCAGAGTTTCCAAAACATAGAATAGCAAAAACTGATGTCTGCATTAGAAGTTACAGAAAAAGTATACAAAATAGAGCTTGAGAAAAAAAAAGCAAGTATTTGCTGAAGTGCCTCAAAAATCGAACTGCTTCTATGGGGGGAAAAATGTTCCTTCAGGAGAGCCAGAGAAATAAGCAAAGCCATGATGGAATTTGAACTCACACTACCTTTCTACCAGATCAAACCAGACAAGTCACTGGCTTTTCTGAGGATTTATGGTATGGCCTAAGGACACTGTTAAACAACAAAGCTGTCAGAGTCAAAGCACATAATCACTCTTACTTGCCCTGACCAGAGTGTGATGTCACTGCATTTCGGAAAAGGCCTCCCTGCACAGGATTATATATCCAGATTTAACATAACCTAGTTTCTACCAAATATAGATTGTGAAAGTCCCTCCTCTCCTGTACCTATCTCCAGTTTCCCAAAAGAGAGCAGCAAAATGAGATTAATACCTTTGGTAGAATAAGGTCAGAAAAAAATTAATATTGTCTTAATTCAAATGGCTCTTTGGGAAGTTAAATTAATTTGTAAAGTCACTAAACCCTTCTATTCACAAAGTTGGGCTTTACACAGTTCAGTGCTCACAGTGAAAAACTAGCCAAAGTTAACCAAACTGTAAAGCAGAAATGTCATTCCAGTAATCTTTTATTGTAAGAGGTGTCAAATTCATTTTGAATCAAATATTCAATAATAATGCAGACAACAGCACCATCAAGTATTATTTTGCTCCTAAGAAATTATGAAACACAAAAGCTAAAATCACCTGTTATTTGTATTTAAACATAACAGACTACAAAGTAGCTTCTTAATATTATACAGAAGGAAAGAAGTTCAAAAGTTTTACATCTAATTCTTAACCGAAATAACGTCAAATTCTGGAAAACTTAAGCCTGGAAGGAAATAAAGAAGGATAAGAGCAAGGAGAACGTGTCCTACTTAATATATTCCTTGCTCAGCTTGGTTCAAACCTGTGCCTAAAAAGTTAATATTGCAAAATATGGATCTTTAAAGAAAACAAAGAATGAAAGAATTGGACTTCCTTGAGTCTCTTAATCCACAGTCACAATATTAGATTTATATTGATTTTACCACCCAACGTTTAGTGAGGCTGTTTGCATTATATAACATCCTTTCTGCTTCCTTCAAAGTTTCAACGGCTAAGATACTAAGATACCTGCAAACAGTTCTCACCTTAGCTGGGCGCTTAGTCATCTCTGGAATGTGTTACTCGTTTTCTTGTAGAGCTGCACCGCCTTCATCTAAGGGTTTCTATTACTTTGTAAGCTTACCCTGAGGCTAAGCAATTGACGGTAATTACAAAGACGGTAATTAATAATTTAAATTGATTCTCATTGAGACCACCTTTCTTAATCATTGTGCCTTTACCAGCTTAATGCTCTTTCTCTTAAACCACAATGGTTATAATAAGTTTTCAAACACTTTCTTTTCGAAAGTGAAGTTTGGCTGGGTGAGCTGGCTCACGCCTGTAATCACAGCACTTTGGGAGGCCGAGGCAGAAGGATTGGGAGGATTGCTTGAGCCCAGGAATTCGAGACCAGACTGGGCAACACATTAAGACCCTGTCTCTAAATATACAAAAATAAAAGTCAAAAGTTTAATGAAGCATCTGCGTGAATTCAATAAAAGCCTGTCCTCCATTCCAACCCCTCCAATAGAAGACTACTCTGAAAACAAGCAGCATGAACACATTATTTGGATTCAAATGATACGGAAATAAAAGAAAGTTCCAGTTTCTTTACTTCCAGCTTAATCTACAGTCTTTCCCGAACCAGACCATTCCTGCAGAGCCCCCCCCCAAAAATTATGGGTTAAGATGAGTTAAGATTTGCCTCCATTTGCTTTCCTCTCTCTCACATCGAGTAAATTCTGGATGTTACTCTTTCCTTCCTCAAAGGGTCAGGAATGCCGCTTCTTTCCCCAGGTGGTCAAGATTCTAGTGATTTGCGCCTCCATTACGGAGCATGGTACAGACGACGTTCGCCCATCAATGAGCAAAACCTTTGAGGGAATCCCTTTTCCTTTGCTTGCTGGACACGTTCCAGCCTCTAAGTGAACGACGCCGAGCGGGGAGGAAGGAAAGTTCTCCCCACGGCCTCCAGGCTCTATCGGCCACACCCCTGGCCTCCGGCCCTCCTAAACCCCGAATTCCTAAACACATCTTCTCCTCATGCCCTCAACTACCTGCTGCCACACCCGAGGATTCTCTCACCGCACCACAGCCACCATGGTGGAGACCCCTTTCTCCAACCCTTTTCCTAACAACGGTCACACCCGACGGTTCCCTGCATCCTCAACAGTCACGCTCTTAGGATTTCCTCGCCTCCGCCGGTCTCCGATCCCAGCTTGGAGTTTCCCTTCTCTCCGTCCCCCACCCCGTCAATTAGGGACACACCCCAAAAGCAGCCGCCCTGAACTCACCGGAGCACAGCCCGAGTGGTGGTGTAATGGTTTCCTGCCCGTCACGATTCTTTTCTAGGTCTCTGTCACTGCGCAAAACCCGCTTTGCCAGGGACAAAGATGGTGGACAGGAAACTCTGACGTCAGATAACTTCGCCGCGCAACGTCATCGGGATGCGCGGGAGACCTAGAAAGGCGGGGATCTCCGTCGCCTTCCAGACCCAAGGATTTTCCTTGGTCTCTGCAAAGCTGGCCCACCTGGGCTCAGAGGAGAAGCGGCTACTCCAAAGGGATTTATTTACAAAGCTGACAGTGGATTTGTTTCCTCGCACAGAAATTCTCTGATAAACGTAAAGATAGAGATGATGAAATATCGGCAGGGCGCGATGGCTCACGCCTGTAATCCCAGCACTTTGGGAGGCCGAGGAGGGCGGATCACCTGAGGTCAGGAGTTCGAGACCAGCCTGGCCAACATGGTGAAACCCCGTCTCTACTAAAAATAAAAAATTAGCCGAGTGTGGTGGCGCATGCCTGTAATCTCTGTTACTCAGGAGGCTGAGGCAGGAGAATTGCTTGAACCCCGCTGAAGCGAAGGTTGCAGTGAGCCGAGATCGCGCCATTGCACTCCGGCCTGGGCAACAGAGCGAGACTTCGTCTCAAAAAAAGAAAGAAAGAAAAAAGAAGAGAGAGAATGGGGCCGGGCGCGGTGGATCACTCCTGTAATCCCAGCACTTTGGGAGGCCGAGACGGGTGGATCACGAGGTCAAGAAATCGAGACCATCCTGGTCAACATGGTGAAACCCCGTCTCTACTAAAAATACAAAAAATTAGCTGGGCATGGTGGCGCGTGCCTGTAATCCCAGCTACTCAGGAGGCTGAGGCAGGAGAATTGCCTGAACCCAGGAGGCGGAGGTTGCGGTGATCCAAGATCAGGCCATTGCACTCCAGCCTGGGTAACAAGAGCGAAACTCCCTCTCAAAAAAAAAAAAAAAAGAAAGAAAGAGAGAGAGATGATGAAATATCTTGTTCCTTTCTGAAAAACAAAAACAAAACCCCTCAGCTCATTTTCCTGCCCGGCTCAAGAGTGGACAATGGTGATACAGCCTAGGCCTATATATGAGCAGTGGAGCTACAGGATAGTGGTGCACCAAAAAGAGGTTGAGGAGCCATTGGATGTCAGTTGGAATCCCTACCCTGAATGTGACTGTGAAAGTTAATGTCTCCTCAACCTTCTTGTCTGTGAAATGAAGACAATGATACTCTCTCGGGCATGTGAAGCTTAAAGCAGATAAATTAGGTAAAGTGCCTAGCATATAATAGGTGTGCTTACACAAAAGTAAGTTTCTTTTGGAAACTAAGACCTAGACCTAGATTCCGGGACCTGGAACTGGAGAACAAGACTGATGAGGTTAAATGAAACTAGCTGTTCCTAAAATTAATTTCAGGATGTGAGGAAGGATGGAGAACAAAGTGATGATTTATTTTTCTCACATTTTGCCCATTCACTCTGTGAATCAAAAAGTGTCTAAGTATTTTAAAACTTCATTCTTAAAAAAGTGATCAGAAGTACATTAAAATTTTGTGTAACATATTCATGTATTATTTCCTGTTACTAAAATAGGGGAAATTAAGTTGGAAAGCCAGGTATAAAGTGAGAAAATGTGAACATTTATGGTAAATCTAATAGCTGCAAAATGTTATAGAAGAGACAGAAAATTCATAAAATGTTAGGTAAAAAACTGATGCAAAACAATATATTATACAGTATGATTATATATGTATAGAAAAAAAAAGGCTAGGGTAGGTCAGGTGTGGTGCCTCACACCTGTAATCCCCACACTTTGGTAGCAAGGGGGGCAGATCACCTGGGCTTGGGAATTTGAGAGCAGCCTCGCCAATATGGTGAAACCCTGTCTCTACTAAAAAAACGAAATTTAGCCAGTGGTGGCACATGCCTATAATCCCAGCTACTTGGGAGGCTGAGGCAGGAGAGTATCTTGAACCTGGGAGGCAAAGATTGCAGTGAGCCGAGATTGCGCCACTGCACTTCAACTTGGGTGACGGGCCAAGACTCCGTCTCAAAAAAAGAAAAAATTGGACATTCAGCAGAATGTTGAAAGTGGTTATTGTGGGATAGTGAGAGTTTTACTTTTCTTCCTAATATTTTTCTGTACTTTCAAATGTTCTACAGTGAACATGTATTTATTTCTATGATTGGAATGTGCCTTTTAAATCATATTGTTGAAAAATACATGATACAGAAAAGTGATCTGAGATGATAAGAAAAAAAAAACCCAAGATACAAAACTCTAAATCCAGAGGAGTATATATACCTATCGGTGGTTCTCACTGGTGCTGATTACAAATGTTATTATCTTCTTTATATTTGTTTTATTTTCCAATTCTTTCTCTGAAAAATGCATATATTTTAAGGAAAAAATGAACTACCCATCTTTTCTGGCTCCTCTTATTCCACTATTAATTCACAAATATCGAGAGCTATTATGTGTCAGGAATTGTACTATGGAACCAACTCTAACTACAAAATAGTCCTTTTCATCATGGGCTTGTAGTCTAATGGGAGATCACTCAGGAGACTGTTGAAATGATCCAGCCACAGGATGATGGTGATTTAAACAAATAACCGTTGATATTTATTGAGCAAGATTTGATGTCAGTTACTCTGCTAAGTACATTTTTACATCCTCAGCTCCTGATAACCAGGTAGGTACTATTACTTTCTCTATTTTGAAAGATACAGAGAAGTTAAAAGGTAGAATTAAGATTTGAACCCAGGAAGTTTAACACTAGAACTGATAAGGCTTATGTTTTAGGTTTGGGCAAGAGATGAATGGTAGTACTAGTCATTGAAAGTAGGAAAACATAAGAGATGGCACAAGTTTGGAGCAGGATAGGGAGGTTGAGTTCATTTTTTACATTCAGTAGAGTGAAGATATCTGTCCAAGAGGTACCTGATTATATGTGTCTGAAGATAAGGAATGACCTGGAATTAAGTTAAATTTACAAACTGTGAGCATACAGATGATAATTCAATCTGTGGGCATGAACATTATCCGTGAAGACTGTGGAGACTGAGTGCTTGGGGCAGAAACAGATAAAATCAAGAATGCAGAGGACCAAGACAGAGTAGTAAGAGAGGTAGGAGGAAAGCAGAATAGTATATTTTAGGATGTTTTCAGAGTTTCATGAAAGTAGGGACTATACCAATCTGTTCACTCTTGCACACGTGAGGCCTAGCCCCATCACACACAAATTAATATATGTTGAATAAACATACAAATAAGTGATCAAGAATATCAGTTGCTATAGACAGGAGAAGGAAGGGCTAAAAAGTGTCTGCAGGATTTAGCCACATGGAGGCATTTGATGTTATTGCTGAGAAATCAGTAGAGATATGAAGGCAAAAGTCATACTGCAGATAATTGAGGATGGATTAGAAGTGAGGAAATAAAAACAGGAATTGCAGATAACTCCTAAGAATGTGTTACCAAAGAAGGAAGAGATGGTATCTGAGGAAAAGAATAGCAAGGATTTTTTCTTACTTGAGTCAGGGTCTTGCTCTATTGTCCAGGCTGGAGTGCAGTGGTACCATTATGACTCACTGCAGCCTCGACCTCCTAGGCTTAAGCAATCTTCCAACCTCAGCCTCCTAAGTAGCTTGGACTACAGGTGTGCGTCACCACACCTAGCTAATTTTTTATTTTTTGTAGAGAGGAAATCTCACCATATTGCCCAGGCTGGTCTGGAACTCCTGGGCCCAAGTGATCCTCCTGCCTTGGCCTCCCCAAGTGCTGGGATTATAGATGTGAGCCACCAAACTCAGCCAATTTTTTTTTTCTTGATACATAGTCTCACTCTGTCACCCAGGCTGGAGTGCAGTGGCTTGATATCTGCTCACTGCAACCTCTGCCTCCTGGGTTCCAGAGATTCTTCTGCTACAGCCTCCTGAATAGCTGGGACTACAGGCACATACTACCATGACCAGCTAATTTTTGTATTTTTAGTAGAGATAGGTTTTCACCATATTGGCCAGGCTGGCAATTTTTTTTTGTTTGTTTTTTTTTAGATGGAATCTCACTCTGTTGCCAGGCTGGAATGCAGTGGCTCACTGCAATCTCCACCTCCCAGGTTCAAGCAATTCTCCTGCCTCAGCCTCCTGAGTAGCTGGACTACTGGCACGCACTACCATGCAGGACTAATGTATTTTATTTTAGTAGAGACAGGGCTTCACCATGTTGGCCAGGGTAGTTTCAATCTCCTGACCTCGTGATCTGCCCCGCCCACCTTGGCCTCCCAAAGTGCTGGGATTACAGGCGTGAGCCATTGTGCCCAGCCAGCAATTTTTTTAAGTTTAGCTCTATACTTGTACATTTTCTCTATACTAACCCTTTAGCAATACCATGGGTTTAATTATCTTTCTTTTTTTTTTTTAGATGTAGTTTCACTGTTGTAACCCAGACTGAAGTGCAATGGCACGATATTGGCTCACCGCAACCTCCGCCTACTGAGTTCAAGCAATTCTCCTGCCTCAGCCTCCCAAGTAGCTGGGACTACAGGCGTGCACCATGATGCCCAGCTAATTTTTGTATTTTTAGTAGAGACGGGGTTTCACCTTGTTGACAAGGATGGTCTCGATCTCTCAACCTCGTGATCCACCCACCTCGGCCTCCCAAAGTGCTGGGATTATAGGTGTGAGCCACTACGCCCGGCCAATTATCTTTCTTAAATATATGGCTCCAAAATCTCTAACTCTAGCTTAGACCTGGCTCTCCAAATTTCAGCACCTAATCAATAACTATACTGCTGGGTCATTCTGTATTTATGGCCCACCAAACTTAAATCATAAGGAGATGGATGAGGTTAGAAAAACCTGGTTCCAGAGTTGGGCACAGCAGTTTATGCCTGTGATCCCAGCACTTTGGGAGGTTGAGGTGGGAGGATTACTTCAGCCTAAGAGTTCGAGGTTGTAGTGAGCCATGATCATGCCACTGCACTCCAGGCTGGGTGACAGAGTGACACCATCTCTACAAAGAGAGAGAGAGAAACCTGGTTCTAGGTACAACTCCTAGCAGACAGAGGTAGATCTCATAAAGATGTCATTAGAAAAATCTTTAAGAGGCTGGGCGCGGTGGCTCATGCCTGTTGTCATAGCACTTTGGGAGGCCGAGGTGGGTGGATCACCTGGGGTCAGGACTTTGAGACCAGCTTGGCCAACATGGTAAAACCCCAACTCTACTAAAAATACAAAAACTAGCCAGGCATGGTGGCACACGCCTGTAGTCCAAGCTACTTGGGAGGCTGAGGCACGAGAATCACTTGAACCTGAGAGGAAGAGGGTGCAGTAAGCCAAGATGGTACCACTGCACTCCAGCCTGGGCAATAGAGCTAGACTCCATCTCAAAAAAAAAAAAAAAAACAAAACAAAACAAAAATAAATAAATAAATAAAACAAAGAAAAAGAAAAATCGCTAAGAGATTTGATTCATACTGCTCTCTTGTTCAAAAACTTTCATCAATTTCTCATTGCCTAACATGTTTGAAAGCTATTATTCTTCCCCTAGTTTCCTCCATCTGTGGTCCTTTCTTTGGTTTTCTCTTCTATAAAATGGGGAAAAGGTAGTAACATCTAATCATATTGTTATTAATATTGAACAATGAAATAGATTACATGTAAAGCACTTAGAACTATGGGTGTCACATAGTGTGGACTATGGAACAATTTCCTATAATTGTGATTATGTTAATAAATTGCACTGAGCTGCTCAAGCCAGAAATCTCTAGGGGTCATTCCTGATTTCCCTTTCCTTCAACTGCCATATCCAATCCATCTCCAGTTGTCAATTCTACATTTAAAATCTCAAAGCCATCCAAGTCCCTCTGCTCAATCTCATGAACGCAAGCCACCATCACCTCTTTCCTGGACTACTAGAAGCCTCTAAGTCTTCTCTCTGCCATTCTTCACACAGCGGCCAGGTTAACTTTTTTCGATGTATGGTATACTTTAAAAAACGTGCATATCTGCCCAGATGCAGTGGCTCATGCCTGTAATCCCAGCACTTTAGGAGGCTAAGGCAGAGCGGTCACTTGAGGCCAGGAGTTTGAGACAAGCCTGGCCAACATGGCAAAACACTGTCTCTACTAAAAATATAAAAATTTGCTGGGCGTGGTGGCACATACATGTAGTACCAGCTACTCTGGGGGTCTGAGGTGTAAGAATCATTTGAACCTGGAAGGCGGAGATTGCAGTGAGCTGAGATAGCGCCCCTGCACTCCAGCCTGGGCTACAGAGTGAGACTCTGTCTCAAGAAAACAAATTAAAAACAAGAATGTGCATATGCCATAAATGTAAAGCTTGATATAAATACTGCATACCCATAAAATCATCAGAGTCATCTTTAAAAAATATAAACTTGATCATATCTCTGGTGTACGAATCCTTCATTGGCTTCCCATTGCTCTTGGACTAAAATCTAGGTTCATTCCCATGGCCTGTGAGTCCCTGCATGGTTTGGCCTATCTACCTCTCTAACACCATTTTATGCCTTTCAGTCACTGCTCATATCCTCATATTTTCACCTTTTGCTAGTTATAATAGCCCTCAAACACACCGAGCTCATTCCCACCTTAGGGTCCTCACAATACTGTTCCTTCTGCCTATTCTTTTTTTTTTTTTTTTTTAAGACGGGGTTACACCATGTTGGTCAGGGTGGTCTTGAACTCCCGACCTCAGGTGGTCCACCTGCCTTGGCCTCCAAAGTGTTTGGATTACAGGCGTGAGCCACCACGCCCAGCCCACTTCTGCCTATTCTTTTCCTCAACTCCTTATATGGTTGGCTCCTCAAAATTTAGGTCTTTGTTATGTCCTCAGAAGGGCATTCCGATTAACTAGTCTAAAAGATTGGGCCTCCCAGATCTCTTATTTAACTTGTAAAAAAAATTTTTTTTGAGACATTGTCTGGTTCTGTCACCCAGGCTGGAATGCAGTGGCGCAATCTCAGCTCACTACAACCTCCGCCTCCCAGGTTCAAGCGATTCTCCTCCTCAGCCTCCCGAGTAGCTGGGATTACAGGCACGTGCCACCACACCCGGCTAATTTTTTGTATTTTTAGTCGAGGCAAGGTTTTACCATGTTAGCCAGGATGGTCTTGATCTCATGACCTCGTGATCCACCTGCCTCGGCCTCCCAACGTGCTGGGATTACAAGCATGAGCCACAACTCCTGGCCTACTCCATACACTTATAATAAATTCCGTTTTAGTTTAAATTAGCTTGTTTCTGTTGCTTGTAACCAAAGATCCCTAAGTGACAACAATGTTTAATTTCCTGCTTGAGTTAGTTGATGCTACTTCTCAACTTTGTATTTTTGCTATTCACTTCAAGCCTGTAATCCCAGCCCTTTGGGAGGCCGAGGTGGGTGGATCACGAGGTCAAGAGATCGAGACCATCCTGGTCAACATGGTGAAACCCCGTCTCTACTAAAAATTACAAAAAAAAATTAGCTGGGCATGGTGGCACGTGCCTGTAATCCCAGCTACTCGGGAGGCTGAGGCAGGAGAATTGCTTGAACCCAGGGGGCGGAGGTTGCGGTGAGCCGAGATCACGCCATTGTACTCCAGCCTGGGTAACAAGAGCGAAACTCCGTCTCAAAAAAAAAAAAAAAAAAAAAAAAAAAAAAAAAAGAAAAGCTTGTACATAATAGCTACCAATAAACCTAATATGTACCAGGTACTGTATATAAACTATGTCTAGTCTTAAAATTATGTAAGGTAAAAATCTTGTTATCAATATGATGTATTTTGGTCAAGTAAAAAACACTTCTTAAACTATAAATAAGGACAATTTGTAAGGTTTTGTCTCCTATTGGAATAACTAAATCCAAACCTAGTTTTTGAGGGTTCTCATTATGCAAACCAATTATTTTTATAACATAAGGGCCTCTAGGGCAGTAAACAATACCTTCTATTCCCAGCTATTTAGCCCAGAGGTAGTACTTCCCAGAAGGAGGAGAGGATGAATTCTCATCCAATTTCAATAGGGCTGTGTCAGCCAACTCTAGCGAGAAAAAGCTGTATATAACATAAATGCACTTTACAAACCTTAAGGTAAATTACACTCGTTTTGGCATAAAAACGGCATGAAAGGAACCCTTCTGCTAAGTGTCCCCAGTGCATGCTAGTTACAATTCATAAAGCTCCCTCTGCTTTAGCACTGTATTCACATCGCTGGTGTGACATATCAGACTGTGTTTAAGGACGGAGACATTTTTATCCAGTATAGCAAGTGCATGGAGTTATGCCTGAATGTAGCCAAAACCTGGGAGACAGTTAAACTACCAGCTTGGATGAAAATTAACCGTCTCAAGTACTGAGGAACAAACATGAACCTTTCTCAATCCGATCATCTTCCCTTACAATTGGCAGCAATAAATCTAAGGCTTCTATCTCCTGGTATGTTGCTTTAAATCCTTTCTGGAAGGGGAAGACATATAAATTAACCACCATCCGTTCCGCGCGTGTACAGAAAAATCCTTCCTCCCTCTGCCCCTAGCTCCACCGCCTGCAGGAACACAGGGTTCAGCAACGGGCCCAAGCTACTATTTCCGGAGCCAGACGTGTGCGCGGCGCCCCAAACAACTTGTCAAAAAGACCTCTGCAGAGAGACGTTCAGGGCTGTAGCTTTCCACCGAGGCTACCATGCAGACCCAGCTACGAAAGGTAAAACCAAACCAGCGGAAAAGTCACAGCCAAAACCAGCCCGCAGCGGCCCTCTTCACTTACAGCGGAGTGGGAGCGGAAGTCCGGGTGGGTCATAGAGTTCTCTAGTTCTGGTTTCCGGGCCGCATTCGGGACTAGAGCGCCTCTCTTCCCGCAGGCGTCCCTGAAGTCCTGGTGGTTTCTATTTCCGGGTGCCTCTTCTGTCATAAAGCGGAGACCTCTCTTCAAACGTGGCGTCGTGGGTTCTTTGCGCCTCGCCTGGAGTCAGCGAGCAAGGACGAGCGCTGGCGAGGATACTCAAAGTCAACAGCTGAAGCCAGTCCTCGTGTCCCGGGCTCACACTGGCACGACTGCATCCTCAGAGTCGGTTGGCTTTTGAGCTCTCACGATTGAGGAGGATTTCTCGTTCGCAACTCCAGGACTGCAGCTCCGGAGGATCGCGTTCCTTCCCCCATACCTGTCCCCTCAGTCACGCCCGGCCCTGAGATGCAGCATTTGACAAGTTACCCCCTCACCACATACCACTTCTACCCACGTCCGAGTTCACTTTGTTGTTAACCTTCTTGAGACTCCCCTCCGCCTCCAGAACAGGTCTTTTTCCTAGTTCATTTTTGCCCATAAAATTGAGTTTCGAGTTTCAGATATCATCCAGAAAGTTTACCTTTAAGACTGAGCACCCATCTGATACCCTTCCTCTCAAAAAAGTTCATGCTCACGAGAGAGTTCGTGGGAAAAGCGAAAGCCAATCAACACAGGAAACTATGGCTGAGCACGGGGCTCACATCACAACTGCTTCTGTGGCCGATGACCAGCCATCCATCTTCGAGGTGGTAGCACAGGACAGTTTAATGACAGCAGTGAGACCTGCTCTTCAGCATGTGGTCAAGGTAAGGTATTAATTCTTGGATTTTAGGGACAACTGGGTAAAAACCAAAGCAATAATTTGTGCTTATTTGGTAGCCTAGCGTTTGAAATAGCCAATTTGCAAATAACTCGTATGCAATGACTTACAGGTTATTGAGTCTGTATTATGTGTAGAGACCTGTACTGAATACCCAACATTTCAGGGAGGTTAGGGCAGACTCCAAAATAAGGGACTTATTTAAGACAGAATGTGTAGACTTTAGAGGAAAAGGGGGAATGCAAATAGAAGGTGTAGTACTTGTGTAATGGAATGAATTTCACTTATTGTTTTATTTTGCTCTAGGTTCTTGCAGAATCAAATCCCACTCACTATGGCTTCTTGTGGAGGTGGTTTGATGAAATCTTTACTCTGCTAGATCTTCTGCTCCAGCAGCATTACCTGTCTAGAACCAGTGCCTCATTTTCTGAAAACTTTTATGGCTTAAAGAGAATTGTAATGGGGGACACTCACAAGTCGCAGAGGTTGGCCAGTGCTGGCCTCCCAAAGAAGCATCTTTGGAAATCAATTATGTTCCTGGTTCTTCTTCCCTATATGAAAGTGAAGCTGGAGAAGTTGGTTGCTAGCCTGAGAGAAGAGGATGAATATTCTATTCATCCCCCTTCTTCCCGCAGGAAACGATTCTACAGAGCCTTTCTGGCAGCCTACCCATTTGTTAACATGGCCTGGGAAGGATGGTTTCTGGTACAACAACTTCAATATATCCTAGGAAAAGCTCAGCATCACTCACCACTGCTCAGGCTGGCTGGAGTTCGGCTAGGTCGACTGACAGTTCAGGATATACAAGCTCTGGAACACAAACCAGCTGAAGCCAGCGTGATGCAGGAACCAGTCAGGAGGTAAGGCCTTAGCATTTCCAAAAGATCTTTAGTTAATAAATTCTAAAATCTTACCCCAGTTTTGTGAAATTCACCTCCCTGTTAACTTTGTGATATTTCATAAAGTCATAGAAAAGCAATTCCTTGTGTCCATAAATCAAGGACTGTCATCTTGGTAACTTTCCTCATCATACTAGGTATACTTTAAGTGCACACTTGCTATGTCCTGTGCTAGGTGCTTGCTTTGTGAACATTATCTCAATCTTCAGCACAACCCAATGAAGTAAATGTATTAGCTCCATTTAACAGTTGGGGAAACTAAGCCCAAGCAGTTAAGTACCTTGCCAAGGTCATGTAGCTAGCCAGCTACAAGGTGGCAGAGCTGGAATTCAAGCCAAGTCAATACGATTTTAAAGACTGTGCTCTGTGAGCCACTGCACTCAGCCTAAGACTGTGCTCTTAATCATGATGCTGTGTTCCTTCTAATTCATATTTGTGTTCTACAAGTTCAAATATATGCATTCCTCAATACTGCTAAGTTTTTTAAGTGAATTGTTTTTTTTTTTTTTTCCTGGATCACTATCTTCCACTAAAAAAAGAAAGTCTATATAATAAATTCTCTACTGATTTCTTTCAAAACACAAAACCAAACCCTAATTATTTGTTACTAAAAACAAAGCTTAGCTCCTATGCTCCTAAAATACTGTAAGTTAGAGAGAATCATGTAGAATAGAACCTTAAGGAGATAGTACCACCAGTCTACCAACTTTTCAGTCCCCCAGTGATTCTGATGAAAAATGTAAGAACTGCATTTATGTTAGTCATTCTCTAATAATATCTAGTTTCTCTTTTTGCCTCCTTGTTCTTTTCTCCCAACAGTGTTAGTGAGAAGATAAAGTCAGCTCTGAAGAAAGCTGTGGGGGGTGTTGCCTTATCCCTGTCTACTGGCCTTTCTTTGGGTGTATTCTTCTTGCAGTTCCTTGACTGGTGGTACTCATCTGAAAATCAAGAAACCATCAAGTCATTGACTGCCCTGCCTACTCCACCACCACCTGTACACCTAGACTATAACTCGGATTCTCCTCTCCTACCCAAAATGAAGACTGTGTGCCCACTGTGTCGTAAAACCCGGGTGAATGATACTGTTCTTGCCACCTCTGGCTATGTGTTTTGTTACCGCTGTGTGTTTCATTATGTGAGGAGTCACCAAGCTTGTCCCATCACAGGTTATCCAACAGAAGTACAACATCTGATTAAACTCTACTCCCCTGAGAACTGAAAGAGAATCGTGTCTTATCCTCACAACAAAAGTATTGCGCTGTAATGCCACAGGGCTGGTTTCAGCATGGTATATAGCATTGATACTTCTCAGCCTCAATTCATAACTATATGAACTTTAAATGACTATATGGATTTCTTTAAAAGGATATGCCCATTTGATCCTAAACTTTTAGCCTGCTCTCTAGAACCCTACTTACAGTTGACCAAGCTGCTTAAGGTAGAAGAATCGGTATTGGCAGGGGATATGAGGGCCAGTGTAGAGATTAAACAGGATAATGACTATAGAATTTTTTTTTGAGACGGAGTTTCACTGTTGTTACCCAGACTGGAGTGCAATGGCGTGATCTCGGCTCACTGCAACCTCCGCCTTCTGGGTTCAAGCAATTCTCCTGCCCCAGCCTCCCGAGTAACTGGGACTACAGGCGCGCACTACCATGCCCAGCTAATTTTTGTATTTTTAATAGAGACTGGGTTTCACCTTGTTGACCAGGATGGTCTCGATCTCTTGACCTCGTGATCCACCCGCCTCGGCCTCGCAAAGTGCTGGGATTATAGGCAGGAGCCACCGCGCCCGGCCTGACTACAGAATTTTTTGCTTATCCCTTTCCTTAAAATATAAGTACAGAAGGTCTTAGGAAAAATCCAAGTTAGACAGCATAAAAAATAAAGTGAATAATGAAGTGGTAGCAAGCCTTCTTTTTAGAAAAGAAAGCATTTACCTGCCTGTCTGTAAGGTGTAAATTTCATCAGTTTGCCAACGATAGGAAACGTGGACCTGCTCTTAGTAGAAACATTTTAGGGAAAAAAAAGCTCCTTCCATATACTGTGACCCATTTGTTAAGTGACATCTACAGTTACCAACTTTTAAGGATCTCCTTAAAAGTTAGATATTTAGGAAACTTAAGGATATTCCTTTATGAACCCTCCATAGCTTTCTTGAGAAACTGGTTAAAAAAGGAATAGGGGTTGAGTGTTGCAGAGAGAGTAGTCTGAAGATTTCCTGTGTAAAAGCAAAGCTAACAAGCAATGAAAAGATGAAGCAAAATACTAATCTAATTGTATAAAGAAATGATATTTTAATAAATTCTTTCTGTTTGTTGCTAAGAGTTTGCTAAACTATCATGAATTATTCTGGTTATTACTAAAGTTTCTATGAAACACTTAAGTAGATTTTAAAAATAAATGTTTCTGGAAAAAGAACTGTTCCATGTTGTTATGATTTTGTAGAAACGTAAAGATTACTTGAGGTGTTTAAAATAAATTTTTCATTCAGACTGCCTTTTACTTTTTGAGGTATTTTTATATTAAAATTTTGCCAATCCAGTAGTTGGAACAAAAATCCTGATTTAAGAGCGCCTGCTGACATAAATGTTTTCCAATAGTTTAACTCATTTTACCAATTCAAAACACGTTCTCTGACAGCACAAAAGTGCTGAAGCTAAAATATTAAGTAGGATATTCTATGGATTTTAATATTAAGATAGTTATGATGTTAATTGAGACAATAAAAAAAGAAAGAAAATATTAAAACTTTCAATATGCCATAAGAAAAGTAATGGATTTTAAAATTCTCATTAAACCTCAAAGGTTTTACCAAAGCAAATACCATGGTTAATTATACATTTTTTCTTTATTTTTTTACTGAGTTGAAGTCTCGCTCTGTTGCCCAGGCTGGAGTGCAGTGGCACGATCTAGCTCACTTCAACCTCCGCCTCCTGGGTTCAAACAATTCTCCCACCTCAGCCTCCCAAGTAGCTGTGATTACAGGTGCATGCCACCATACCCAGCTAATTTTTGTATTTTTAGTAAAGGCAGGGTTTCGCCATGTTGGCCAGGCTGGTGTTGAACTCCTGACCTCCAGTGATCGGCCTGCCTCAGCCTCCCAAAGTGCTGTGATTACAGGTGCGAGCCACTGTGCCTGGCCAATTAAACATTTTTAATACAGTAATAAGTGAATAATAGAATTGAACCAGATTCAGGATTGAAATGATGTAGTCCTCCATGAAGATTTCAAAGGAAGATTTTTCACCTCAACCTAAGAAGGAAAACATGAGAGTATCAGTAATTCAAAATATAAAAGAAACACTTTAAACAATAAACCAGTGTCCAAACAGGATACGACAGACCTGTGCAGAAAAACCACAACCAGGATCAGCTCAGAGAGAAGATTAAGTGATCATACCCTGGTCAAAGCCAACACTGAAGCAATGGCAATACCAGGTCAGACTCCACTTCACTCATCATTGCATTTCACCTCCTTGTATTACCCAAGAGCAACCCAGTGTCCTATTTTCACATCCAAGGAAACACAGGCTTACTATGAAAAAAATTAAGTCTTAAGTTCCAACCATGGGTTTCTAATTAATATTTCTTCTTTTTTTTTTTTTTTAAGACAGGGTCTTACTCTGTTACCCAGGCTGTAGTGCAATGGCTTTATCATGGCTCACTGCAGTCTCAACCTCCCCAGGCTCAGGTGATCATCCCACCTCAGCCTCCCAAGTAGCTGGGACTACAGTCACAGGCTACCACACCTGGCTAATTTTTGTACTTTTTGTAGAGACAGGGTTTCACCATGTTGCCCAGGCTGGTCTGGAACTCCTAAACTAAAGCAATCTACCCACCTCAGCCTCCCAAAGTGTTTGGATTAGAGGTATGAGCCACCATGCCTGGCCTGTTTTCAATTAATATTTTTTTGAGACAGGTTTTCACTCTGTCAACCAGGCTGTAGTGCAGTGGTGCAATTACGGCTCACTGTAGCCTCAAACTCCTGGGCTCAGGGGATACTCCCAGGTAGCTAGAACTACAGCCACCCCTGGCTGATTCTTTTTAATTTTTTGTAGAGACAAGTTCTCACAATGTTTCCCAGGCTGGTCTCAAACTCCTGGCTTCAAGTGATCCTCCCACCACATCCTTCCAAAGCCTTGGTATTAAAAGCGGGAGCCATTGCACCTGGTCCTCAGTATTTTATTTTACAGCGTTCTTTGCTTAAAATAACTTTGCTATACAAAAATACAAACTAGGGTGGGCACAGTGGCTCATGCCTGTAATCCTAGCACTTTGGGAGGCTGAGGTGGGAGGATTCCCTGAGCCCAAGAGTTGCCAAAACCAGCCCTGGCAAAACAGTGAGACATTGTTTCAACAAAAATTAGCCAGGCCTGGTGGTGCACACCTGTAGTCTCAGCCACTAGGGAGGCTTTGGTGGGAGAAGGATTGCTTGAGCCTAAGAAATCGAGACTGCAGTGACCCTGTCTCAGAAAAAAAAAAAAAAAAAAGCAAATCTGAACAAATTTTACTTTTTAGGGTTTTTGTTTTTGAAGTACAAAGGACAGTTGAGAAACATTTGCCATTCAAAAACTTTTGTTTTTTTCTAATGAGCACAAACACCCTGCATGATAAAAAATCTCAGGAATGTTCATGAAGAAACTTATAGCTTACTTTTTTTTGTTTTTGAGACAGGGTTTCACTCTGTGGCCCAGGATGGAATGAAGTGGTGCAATCACTGCAAATTTGAACTCAGGCTTAGGTGATCCTCCTGTCTGAGCCTTCTGAGCAGTTTGGACAACAGGTGTGCAACCACCATGCCCAGCTAAATAAAACAAAAAACAAAGTTGTAGACATAAGGTCTTGCTATGTTGCCCAGGCTAGTCTCAAACTCCTGGCTTCAAGTGACCCTCCTGCCTTGGCCTCCCAAAACCCTAGGATCAAAAGCTTGAGCCAAGAAGCCTGGCCTTAGTCTTGTTCAAAAGCAAAAGTTTTAGAAAATATATTTTCTTTTTTAAAATTTCTTTCCTTTTTCTGGAGATAGGGTCTTACTATGTCACCCAGCCTGGAGTGCAGTGGCACAATCATGGCTCACAGTGGCCTCAAACTGCTGGGCTCAAGCAATTGTCCCACCCCAGCCTTCTGAGTAACTGAGATCTGAGGCAAGCACTACCAAGCCCAGGTAATTAAAAACATTTTTTGTAGAGACAGGGTCTTGCCATGTTGCCCAGGCTGGATTCAAACTGCCAGCTCAAGTGAGCCTCCCTCTTTGGCCTCCCAAAGTGCTGGATTGCAGATGTCAGCCACTGTACTTGGCCTAGAAAAGAATTTTTTTTAAGATGGAATCTCACTGTCCCTCAGGGTAGAGTGCAATGGCATGATCTTGGCTCACTGCAGCCTCTGCCTCCCAGGCGCAAGCAATCTTCTGCCTCAGCTTCCCAAATAGCTGGGACTATAAGCGTGTGCCACCATGCCCAGCTAATTTTTGTATTTTTAGTAGAGATCAGGATTCACCATGTTGGCCAGGCTGGTATTTAACTCCTGACCTCAAGTGACCTGCCAGCCTTGGCCTCCCAAAGTGCTGGGATTACAGGCGTGAGCCACCACACCCAGCCTAGAAAAGATTTTCTACTAATCTTTAAATATTTCTCTATAAAATCCAGTTGATTTAATATGCAATTTGATTTATACTTCTTCTGTCAACAAAGATTAAAATTATAGTCATAAAAGTTTTTAAACCAGAATCTTCTACCTGAAGAGTCCAAGAACCCAGAGAGGCTATGATTTGCCAAAGGTCCACAGCAAATTAACTGCAGAGCTGGAAAGAGAACTTGAGGTATGATTACCAGATTTATATTTTTAAAGTAACAGCTAAATCAAAGGTTTAATTTCATTTTTCTCTAGGGCCTTACCTTTAGATTTACTAATGAGGAAGGATATGGAAGATAAAGCAAGGCAAAGCATAGGTAATTCACAATCTAAAAAAATCAATTTCAGAATGAGAAAGGTGACTGCATTTCATTTATTTTACGTTCTTTATTTTATTTTCTTTATTTTTAGACGGAGTCTCACTCTGTCGCCCAGGCTGGAGTGCAGTGGCATCATCTCAGCTCACTGCAACCTCCACCTCCTGGGTTCAAGTGATTCTCCTGCCTCAGCCTCTCAAGTAGCTGGGACTACAGGCGTGTGCCACCAAGCCTGGCTAATTTTTGTATTTTTTAGTAAAGACAGGTTTTCACCACATTGGCCAGGCCGGTCTCGAACTCCTGACCTCTTGATCTACCTGCCTCGGCCTCCCAAAGTGCTGGGATTACAGGTGTGAACCACTGTGCCTGGCCTCTTTATTTTATTTTTAATTTTTTGGGGGGATGGAGTCTCGCTCTGTCACCAGGCTGTAGTGCAGTGGCCGGATCTCAGTTGACTGCCACCTCCACCTCCTGGGTTCAAGCATTTCTCCTGCCTCAGCCTCCCTAGTAGCTGGGACTACAGGTGCATGGTACCAGGCCCAGCTAATTTTTGTATTTTAGTGGAGGTGGGTTTTCACCATGTTGGCCAGGATGGTCTTGATCTCCTGACCTTGTGATCCGCCCACCTTAGCCTCCTAAAGTGCTGGAATTACAGGTGTGAGCCACCATGCCAGCCCAGACCTCCAAATGATATTGTCAGTATCTAAGAATTCTGGAGCCCCTGTATACTTCCTTCAGCCATCTGTCAATGTCAATAGACTGACATTCCCTCCTTAAAACTGACGGCTGTTGATCTGTGTTAGCCATTCAGCAACTAAGCTCCACAAAGAGGGAAACTAGGCTGGGAGCAGTGGCTCACATCTGTAACCCCAGCACTTTGGGAGGCTGGCAGACAATAACTTATGGCAGACAAAACTGCTATCTCAATGGGCCTCCTGCCTCCAGTTTTGATCCCATACAATGTACTTTGAATCTTACAAACATACTAACCTTTACAAATGGAGGTGTGATTAAGTCATTACTCACAAGCATTCAATTGCTCCCCACAGTCCAGGAAATAAAGTCCTAATGACTTTGTTTATCAATCAACATGTTTCAAAAGGGACCCAAATTTATCCTTAAACACACCATAAAAAACCCAAACATGTCTCTTTTTTTTGGTTTTTTGATTTGGAATATTGCTCTGCCACACAGGCAGGAGCGCAGTGGTGCAATCTCAGCTTCCTGGGTTCAAGAGATTCTCCTGCCTCAGCCTCCCAAATAGCTGGGATTACAGGCGTGAGCCACTGCGTCTGGCCCCCAAACATACAGTCTAATCAACCCAGATTATTCCTTAGTCCTCATATTGGCTCTATGTGACCTTATGCCGTCCATTTAGAAAGTCTTTCCCCGCTGTAGAAACCCTTCCTGTACTTCGAAATCCTACCCTTACAGTTTGCAACCCTCCAAAACGCCATCTTTCACATGAAGCCTTTTTAAATCAATCCAACAGGAAGTATATGTCCTTCTTCCGAAATATGAAAGCAGGTTAATACCTGTTTTGTGGTAC